TATATATATGTATGTATATGCACCTTTTGTCCTTTTTAATGCATGAAAAAGGGTATTTCACTTCTTAAAAGTTTATAGTTATATTTTTAAAGGATTTTAAGGATTTGGGGGAATAACTATAGATAGTAAACTTTAGGTATTATGTAAATGCCTAAAGTTTAGTGAAGATTTGAGTTGCATGAATATAGAAAAGCTAAATATAGGTGGTAGATATGTAATTTCGGTGGTAAATATGTAAATACCCAAAAAAATTAAATAATTGTAACACACATATACGAGCCAATCTGACAGCCCATGTTCTTGTACGCTATTGCATGTGCGTAGCTGCCGGCCTTAATTGGTTTGTCAGCGTTACCTTCTGATAGTCGTGTAATAAATATTCCTATATTTAACTTCTTCAAATTTAATCTTTTTAATGAATGAAATAATAATTATAAAACAATAATAAAAATAAAAAATTAATAAGATTTTATATATTAGAATTTATTTAATGTCTAAAATTAATTTTATTAAGGGCATTTACATACATAACATACATTTTTATGTAATCACATATCTAACAATTAAATTTTAATTTTTATACTTATATCAATAAATATTTTATGTCACATAAAGTAGTGAGTAGATTGAAATTTATATGGAGCGATTATTGTATGCGGAGAGCGCACACATTCCTTCCACAGATCAAGTCAAGGTTGTACAGCCCTGACGATCCCACTGTCATACAGTCCTAGCTTGATCTGTGGCTGGAATCGTAGAGCGCACGCAGCTCTCCGCACGCAATAATACTAAAATTAATTTTTTTTCTTTTTTTTAGTGAGATATAATAATTGATATTGATATTGGTATATGAACACATCATTAATTATTTATAATTATTTTACGGGATCCGAAACTTTGATATTTTTGTTTGGCCGGTTCTATGTGACCGAATTGGTCACATGGCGTGTAGATTTTTTGAATTATTATGAATATTTGAATTTTAATTATTTAGCTTGCAGCTGAAACGGTCACATGGCTTGTCGATTTTAAATGACATCAAGATCTTGGGTTTAAGTGAAATATGTACACGCATTTTGGGCTTATCCTCCTTCAATGCGCGTGGTATATATATATATATATA